TAAAAAAGAAATCTAGACTTTTAATTTTTTTTCAAAAACACTGGTTGTTTTATAAAGACAATTGTGTCACAGCTGATAAAAATATATTTGAAACAATGAAGTCTAGTAGGGATAAGGAAACACAATTTGGATCTGTTACTTAATAAAAACTGTTGTGTTACCAGTTGTGTTGGCAAATTAGGACAAGGTGCCAAAAATAAATAATCATTAAATCCTTTATTAAGTTACTGTGGAAGTGTAAGCAGGAGACTGAAGAAGATTCATCCTCTCAGTTTCCCCAATTTTTTCTAATGTAACTGTAGTGTAAAAACCAGGTAGCACAGATGAGGAAATTGTACACTTACAAAGAGCCTAGAATGAAATAACTTTATGGCTTTTGGTCTTGGAGGATGAAGAGGTGGAAGAACAATAAATGGATAAGTCTTGAAATAAAGTAGATGAAAGTGCCTCATCTGAGGCACATTGATGAAGATATTTCTGGCCTAAAATGCAGAAATGTATGTGAACGTGACTGGACCAGAATGCTTGTGTCCTGCCATTCTTTCCAGAAAACTATAATGTACTGTGTATTAAGTCTGGTTTGAGAAGCATGATTTCCTCCATTAAACTTCTCTGACAAAGATTTGCAATTACTTATCATCAAATTTGTCAGATCAAGCTGAGATTTTGGACTAGAGTTAAATGCCTCGCATATGATGTAAATATTTTGTGTTGAGAATATAGAATATGCACTTAGAATTCCCTTAGGAGCATGATTTAATTTGTCATCTGTTCTATTAGTTAAAAACTGCCCTGGCATGTTATTGTTTGTTTGATTTTTGGTTTTGTTGTTGTCTCTTTTTTCACAATCTTTTAATTCTCCAGGTTTTTAATTTTTTATTTTTTAATTACACCTTTTAAAAATTAATTTTAATGAATGTTTACAGCGACTTTGGATTTCCACTTTTTTGCTGTTTTTGTTGCACTTTTCTCCCTGCCCAACCTCCACCAAGTTCACTCTTCTCTTTGAAAAGTAAAAGAAAAATTCTTTCATTGTTATACAATCCCTCCCCCCAAGTCCACTCCACTATGCAGTCTTTTATACTGATTTACTTACAAGTTTATACATTGTTTTCCACACCGGATCATTCCCATTTCCTGTACCCATTCTCCCACTACCCATCCAATTGTGCAACTCTGTGATTACCTCATGCTCATCCTCACCCTTCTGATCCTACCCTCGCCCCCTTGGGATCCTCATACATGATTTTCCAGTTATCTATTTATACAATAATGCTCTTATATAGTATTTGTCCCTCCTAAGTTAGGCAGTGATTTACAAAATCTGCATGCTGCATAGTGTGCCATTGTATGAATGTACCATAATTTCTCAATCCATTTTATTGTAGTTGGATATTTGGCTTGTTTCCATGTTATTGTGATGATGAATAACACTTTTATGAACACTGGTGTACAGATCTTCTTTTGTGCCACAGCTCTATATTTCTCAGGGTATATTTCTAACAGTGGAATATCTGAGTCGTATGGAATTTCTATGTTCAGCTCTTTTAGGAACTGCCAAAATTCTTCACATATGAAGACATTCAGATGACAAACAGATACATGAAGAAATGCTCCAAAAATCACTGACAATAAAAAGAGATGCAAATCAAAACCACAATGAGATACAAGCTCACCCCATTAGCAGTTGCAAAGTTTAACAGGACACCAAGTAATAAGTGTTGGAGAGGATCTGGAGAAATAGACTCTTATACACTGTTGCTGGAATTGTAAAGTGCAACCACCCTGCCCTGGGGTTTCTAATGGACATTCTTTCTCAAACCTCTATTTAAGATGTTTAGAGAATGTATTGTTTATAGACAAGATATGTTGTTGTGTTGTTGTTATGTGCCGTCGAGTCATTTCCGACTCATAGCGACCCTATGCAAAACAGCCCTAAACCCTGCTCTATCCTGCGACAACTGCACCGCCTCTGACACACCCATCCCGATTATCCCAGTCACCGAATCAATCCATCTCATAGAGGGTCTTCCCCTCCTGCGTTGTCCCTCAACCCTTCCAAGCATGATGTCCCTCTCCAAGGACCCGTCCCTCCTGGCAACATGTCCAAAGTATGTCAGACGAAGCCCCAGAATCCTTGTCTCCAAGGAGTAGCTTGGTTTAATCCTCTCCAAGATAATAAGAGATAAATTTATTTGGAATTAAATCTTCCTCACTCAGCAAACTTAGATATTCTGATTCTATTAAACCTACTTTTACCATTTAATACAAAATAAATAGTATTTTACAGAGATATTTAGAAATGTCATAATTTTCTACCACACCAGGAACTGAGGAAAGTTGGGCTCATTAGTAACCACTTGAACAAATTTAAGGTCAGATGACTAGAAGTTTAAAACAAGTAGTCCATAAAACTTGCTGAGGACAAAGAATATAAAAAAATAAAAGCTTGGAAAAAACCTGACTATTGAGTACAACAGTATTGTTTTATACTTTTGAGTCAGACCCAACTCATAGCTGACCCTCCAGTGGATTTTTAGAGCACAGAAAACTGCAAAGAAGTCCACTGCCTCTCTTTCTCCTGTGGAGCAGCTGGTGTATTTGAACCACGTACCTTTGGGTTGGCAGCACAATTCCTTATCACGAAGTGTCCAGAGCTCTCTACAACAGTATAAAAAAAATTTACTATCTACTAATGAGGAACTTTGCCTTAATAGCATATAATAGAACACTGCACTATAGTATGGATATAAATAACTTCATGTATGCAACCAGAAATTGGCTATGAATGAAGGAGCCCTGTTGGTTTTGTATATTAAGTGTTTAACTGCTAATTGAAATGGCTGAAAGTTCCAGTCTACCAAGTTATCCATGAAAGAAAATGAAGCAGTCTTCTGTAAAGATATTTAGCCGTCAGCCCAAATCAGCATTGCCATTAGTCAAAAATCTATGCAGCAATGAGTTCGTTTTTAGTTTGGATAGATGGATAGAAAGACAAACATACAGATAAATATATATTTATAAAAAAAATAAACACAATACACAGTGGAGTGGACTTGGGGAGAGTGATTGCATAACAATGAAAAAGTTTTTCTTTTACTTTTCAAGAAGAAGAGTGTATTGGGGGAAGGGAGGGCAGGGAGAAAAGTGCAACAATGAATGAATGGAAACCCTAATTCTGTAAATTTTCATTAAAATCGATAACAAAAATAAAAGTATTTTAATTAAAAAGTTGTGTTTGAGTAGATGTTATCCTGGAGAAAATATATGATTGAATAATAAATACAAGAAAAGATATTTCGCATCATACATCATTCTTGTTGTGTTTAGGTAACATCAAGATGACTGTGTCTCATATCATCTCTATGAACAAAAGATGTGATCCTGTATCAGCCTCATCATTTCTGATAAAAAGAAAGAGGAAGTTCCTAAACAAGGTGGGTTGACACAGATCTGAAACTTTTTAAGATTCATCATACATTAATAAGCTTGTATGTATTATTGTCATCCCTTAATCCAAAGCTCTCACACACTAGTCACTACTCTTTATGTTGCACTATTTTTCCACTAATGTATAACCTACATGAACAGTATATTTTATCTCCCCACTTCTTCATAACCATTGCTTATAATATTGGGTATAACACAGTAACTACTCAATAACAATTTTTTAAAAATTAAGTACAAGTGTGACTATAAAACTCAAGTCTCGAGTTGTAATATTTAGAGATGATACAGGCAGAAACTTGAATGACTCAGAAAGTACCAAAAGAAGACACTGAATTGCTGTATCAAAAAGAATCAGCTGACATTGAAATACTTTATGAAGTACAATATTATGAAGAGCCAGTGATAATGAAGGAAGAAGTTCAAGCTGCATAGAAAGCATGGGCAAAATATAAGGGCCCTGAAAATCATGGAATACTAATTGATCTCTTGTGAATGCCAGATACAGCCCTAGGCATGCTCACCAATCTGTACCAGAAAATTTGGAAGACATTAACTGGCTGACTGATTAGAAGAGATCAATATTTGTTCTCATTCCTAAGAAAGGTGATCCAATAGAATGTAGAAATAACCTAGAAAGATCATTAATATCACATGCAAGCAAAATACTCCTTGAAAAAAATCATTCAAAAACAGCAACAGTACATAGAGAACAGCCAGAAGTTCATCTGGATGAGACCGTGGCACCAGGGATATCACTACTAATGTTGGACGGATCATAGTTGAAAGTAAATACCAAGAGAATGTCTATATTGTGCTTTATTAACTATGCAAAAGTATTTGATTGTGTGACATATAACACATTATGGCTAACATTGAAAAGAATGGGAATATCAGAACACTTAATTATTCTCTTGCAAAAACCTATATCTATACTAACAGGTGAACGGTTTAAAATTAAGAAGGTGTGTGATGGGGTTTTATTCTTTCTTCACTCCATTCTCCATTTTTACTATGCAGTGATTTCCCTAAAATGTCCTTATCTTTCTAATCACATCCACTCTAAAGTAATACTAAGTCCATAGCATCAGTGTGTATGCAAACTGAAGACGTGTATGAGTGTCTTTTTAATTTTTATTGTAGGTTTCTGGACTCATAAACATCTAAGGCAGAGCCCAGCTCACAATCAACACCATGACAATGCCCTCAAGAGACCACAGAATGCCTGGAGAGACTGAGAAATATTAATGTTATTGTCTACATTCAGACTATATCCCCAGAAGAGGATACATGTAGGATGTTATTTGTTCAGTCTGTGATCCCCTAGGATAAGAAGTGTAAGGGGATTTGTACTTATAACTGACATTAAGACAGACTGAGACTGAGTAGCTTAGACCACTCCTTTGAAAAGGTAAGATAGACCATCAGGTCAAAGTAAAAATTGTTATTAGTAAGGTGGGAAGGATGTATTCACTATTTCCACAAGGAGTCAGATAGAATGAGATTCTAAGTAAAACTGAATGGTGAAGACAGCTCTTGTAGTTGTCTAAAAGATGATTTTACGTCTCAGCTTTACCAAAGGAAATGTTAAGAAAGTAAGCAAAGGGTCCAAGTTGTGATTTTCAAGTTTTTTATAAATTTTGTGCTATATACTGATGTACATTGGTCAAAACTTTATTTTTTGATGCACTTAGTTAGTCAGGCTAAAATATGCCCCGTATACATAAGTCTATCATATATTTATATATGAATAAATAATACTGATTTATTATTATAAAATGAATTGTTAGAATAACTTTTCAAAATACCTCTTCAGATATTCCAAGTTATATTTTCAGCTCATCTGATACCTGTGAGACAAAAATTATATAGGTTTTCTTCAAAGACAAAAATCAGTGCCAAGCAGTTGTGTAAATGTGAAAACTGTAATATGTAGCACCATGAAGAATCTGAATGATCATTCACAAAAGAGCTCAAATCTCTAGTAACCCAAGTACTTATTATCTATACTTTCTATAAATATTGATCTCCTTTGTTAGAATATTTTATAGCATGCAATATAATTTCATAAAATACAGGTTTTCCTTTAATCATCCAATTATTCACCTTCTAATAGATGACAAGTTTTGTCCATACTTCTTTATTCTCTGCTAATTCTCAACTAATTGACTTTATTATTCTTTGCTATTTCCAGATATTTTTGTCTTCATATCCACAGGCTCATTATTGTGACAAATTGGAATTAATTGATATACATATTACTAATTTTTATGGTAATTGAGCTTTTATATTACCAATTTTCTCACATGTTAGAAAATTATATCTTTATAACAGGCAATACACCATCTATGACCTCTATTATATTTCAAAACTTAGCTGACCTGTTTAACAACACTTTCTGAGGGAAAAAAAAGGTAAGACTTCAACAATTGGAAAAGTATCCAGTTACGGCTTTCTTCACTTACAGATTCTACGTCTTCTGTGACAAATCGTAGTACCATGTTTATGACACACTGAAAAGGATAATACAATGGAAATCATTCAATGGCCAATTGCATGATTTGAAGATGTCAACGTGTCTTACAGTCCACAACAATAAAGAAACTTCAGGACTCACATATTTATAGTTTTTATTATTTTAAGTTTGATTCATTTCCAGATCTTCCAGTTTGCATAATGTTTAACAAGACCCATCATCAACCTATCACTTTCTTACTGATGGGCATTCCAGGACTGGAGGCTGCCCACATATGGATCTCCATTCCATTTTGCCTGGTCTACGTATTGGCACTTGTGGGAAATTCTGCCCTTTTACTAACGGTCAAGTCAGACTCCAAACTGCATGAACCTATGTACCTCTTTCTATGCATGCTCTCTGTGGCTGACTTGATGCTAACTTCCTCTACACTACCCAAGATACTCAGCCTCTTTTGGTTCAAAAACAGAGAGATCTATTTTGAAGCCTGTCTCACACAAATGTATCTCATCCATTCATTGACTACCATGGAATCTGGATTTATCTTGGCCATGGCTTTTGACCGCTATGTGGCCATTTGCCACCCACTGAGACATTCTACTATCCTGACCACTACAGTCATTGCAGGCTTAGGCTTGGGAATATTCTTCAGAGGAGTTGTATTCCTGAGTCCACACCCTTTCCTCTTGAGGTGGCTTTCCTACTGCAAAACTAACATCATCTCCCACACTTACTGTGAGTTCATGGCCCTGATAAAGCTGGTTTGTGGTGAAACCAAGATTCGCCGAGCCTACAGCTTAACCGTGGCCTTCCTAACAGCGGGATTAGACTTCATCTTGATCATTTGTTCCTATGTCCTCATTCTTTTCACTGTCTTTCATCTTCCATCCAAGGCTGCCCGCCTCAAGACCTTAAGCACCTGTGTATCCCATGTATGGGTCATTCTAGGATTTTATGTACCAGCCTTTTTCTCCTTTCTTACTCACAGGTTTGGGCACCATATTGCTCCACATGTACACATTTTTATAGCTAATATTTATCTCCTTATTCCACCTATGATGAATCCCATTATTTATGGTGTTAAAACCAAAAGGATCAGGGAAGGATTCTTTAAAATACTAACATTTAAGGGTGTTTAGCCTCATAATAACTTGTGATTCTTCAGATTATCAAAAAAGGAAAGGTGTTGAAACTATTTAAAGACTATTTCAAATAATTTCCATTAAAGCTGATATTTGTATTCGTCTACACAACTTCATTTCATGTAAACTATTGTTTACAAAGAGTAGAATAAGATAGATTATAGGGAGGAAAATCGTCCGGAAAAAATTTTATTGTAAATTATTAAAAATTTTTGTATTGTTGTTCTTACGTGCTACTGAGTTGCTTGTGACTCATAGCAACCCTATGCACAATAGCTCTGAACACTGCTCTGTCCTGAATCAATCTCACTGTGTCTGACTCACCTGCACTCATTACTCCAGTTACTATCAATCCTTTTCATCCAGGGTCTTCCTCTCCTGTGCTGTGCTTCCACTCTTTCAAGCATGACATCCTTCTCCAAAGACTGGCCCGAGAGTCTCAAAAGCCTTGCCTCCAAGGACTAGCTTGGTTTTACCCTCTCCAGGACAAACCTGCTACTTCTCTTATCTAAATTTAGAATTTAATAAATATTCTTATATTTATCAAATAATAACTAAAATTGCAATGGCATGGTATTTACAATTAGCCTGTTTTGATTATGCAGACCATGATACGTGAACTCATTAGTTCTAAAGTTAGAGTAATAATGCATATATATTTTCTTCATAAACACCAAGTTTTCAAATAAGCCACATGTTCTCAAATTAATAGCAGTTAATTCAAGAATTAAATTACAAACTAATACCTACAGCATGATACATTATGGAGTCAAAGAATTCTTTTTCTTGAAGAAAGTATTATATGCAGAGCAAACAGATTTAAAATTGTTGCAAAGATTTAAAACTAAAATTGAACTATTTCCTTCTCTACCACCTACTAATCTGGTTTTTATAACTACAGTAGCTCCAGGGTGATCATGCACTGAAAAGAATTAAATTAGAAAAAGTGAGAATGCCTAAAAACTCTTAAATGAATCTTTCCCCAGCATTAAAATTCTTTGAATTGCTGCCAACATAATTACCAGGATTCTGGGGAAGAAATTTATTTTGATAATTTTTACCTATGCTGTTGCTTGCCTTTCGAGAAGGACAGGTATATAAAATATATATTCATTTCAGTACTATATATACATTGTTCAGCTCTTTGCTAGTTAACATCTTTTCAGTGTGAAGCTGTATTTCTTCATTACTCTGTTTTCATTTCCATTTTAAGATTATTTTCTTTATATTCATATTTAAGAAACTTGATTCTGATGTTCCTTTGTGGGGTTTTTGGGAGAAAAAATGGACAGTCTTCTTCCTCGTGGTTTACAGCTTCTCAAAACCCTCTGGCGGGTCAGTTATGAATTAGTTCAAACCTGATAGCAGTGAGTTCTTTTGAGTTTGTGCTTTTTTGTTTGTGTTTTCTACCAACCAGAATGGTTTGCACTTGACTGTTACGCTACGGTTTTATCAGTTCAAACTCACATAAGGGCAATATGGAAGGAAATGCCTAGTGACTGGCTTCCTTAACCAAGAAAGCTCTGGTGGCTTGTGCTGTTAATGCAAAGGTATCCTCCTGTTTGAGTCTCCCAGTTGCTTTGAGGAAGAAGATGGCAGCCATTAAACCCTATAAAGTGAGATAGGAGCAAAGGAGTGAGGACAGAGAAGGTTAAGACCACAGGGTTGCATAATTTGGAGGGTAGAGGGATGGGGTTAATGGAATAGAAAAGATCCAGCTGGGATCCAAAAAGACAGGGTAATGGTGTGTATGATGCAGTGGTAATTAATTTTATAAAGCATAATGCATGGGAATGATTATATGAAACACAATGTGAGTGAAGAACAGTGTGGAACGCAATGCATACAAACTTTGTAAGCAAATCAATATAAAATAAAATTTTAAAAAGAAAAAATGGAAACCCAAAACAATTATATGTTACTTGATCATCATTATGAATGAAGTTTATGAATATTATATTTTGGGGAGACAGGAGCAGCTCATTTTTATTTTCAGTCTACATTTACAAAGTCTTTGGTAAATTATTTGTATCAATAATTTGATGTCCAATGTCAGGGTGCATTGCTTAGTTATTTTCATATCTTTCTACTAACCACTTTGATACGTTGTCAACAAACACACCCATATTGTAAATTTGGACTAAATTTTGTTTTATAAAATAGACCCCAGCAAACACCTTAAGCAATTACAACTTTAGATAAATAGCTTAGGGGGGAAAATCCCCCAAATAAAACCCTTAAAATGATTCTATTCTGTACTCTATAAAAGTTGTTGCTATGGTGTTTTTGTTAGATGTCACTGAGTCAACTATAAATCACAACCACCCTATGGACAGTGGTTGATCTTTTTCAGGATATGAGTTTAAGTTTTGCTAAAGAACAAACATGTGTTGGAGAAAGTACCACCAGATGTTCCTTGGAAGTCAAATTGATGAAGATTCGTCTCATGTGTTTTGGACATGTTAGTAGAGGCTATTACTTAGAAAAGGAAATCATGCTTGGAAAGGTGGGAGGGTCAGCAAAGGAGAGGAAGCTCTTCAATGATCTGGATTGATGCAGCGTCTGTGGCAATAGACTTAAAGGTGTTAGGGATGATAGGATGGCATAGCTTAGGACAGCATTCAGAAATATTGTTCATAGGTTTCAATGGGAGTCATATTGAACTGAACAGCACTTACCAACAACAATGTGGGGCCTTGCAACTCAGTGGTTGAACATTCAACTAATCATGCCATTCTATGAGAGAAAAGACTAGATGATCTGCTTTTATACTTTTCCTGATAGAGGTGTTGAGAGTATGACTGGAAATAAGTATAGTTTGAGTTTTATTTCTAAATATGGGAGTTGTCAAAAGTAACTAGAGTATCAGTTTATCCAGGTCTCATTTTGCCCTGCTATTGTGATAAGACCCTTCTTAATATTCTAATAATTAACTTTAAACAATTGCTTTCAAAATTATTTAACTCAAGAGAATTCCATGTGTTACAAAATAAAACTCTGCTCCATATTGCTGTTGTTGTTGTGTGCGCTTAAGATGACTACAACTCATAGCAAGGCTATGAACAACGGTTCTGACTTTGCCCTATACTGAGTGAACCTCTTCATCTCCAGCACGCTTGGCCCCATTGTCACAGTCAGTGCATCAGTCTGTCTCATTCAAGGTCTTCCTCTCCTGCACTGACCCCCTACTTGGAAGGACATGATTTCCTTCTCCCAGGCCTGTTTCCTACTGGCAGCATACCCAACTTACATGAGATGAAATTTCAAAATCCTTTCCTCTGACAAACAATCTGATTTCATCTTCTCCAGGACAGATCTGTTTATTCTCCTGGCAGTCAAAAGCATATTCAACGCTCTTCTCCAGCACCAAAACTCAAAGGTATTGATTCTTCTTCAGTTATCCTTAGTCATTGTCTAGCTTTCAGATGCATAGCAAGCAATTGAGAAGACCATAACATGGATCAGGCACACGTTAGTCTCTAGACTGAGACTGCTCTTTAGGACTCTGGACAGTCCCTGACAGCTGACTTTTCCAAAGCAACTTGTCTTTTGATTTCTTGACTGCTGGTACCAAGACTGTTGATTGTGGATCTGAGCAAGATGAAACTGTAACAGCTTTAATCTTTTCTCTATCTATCACGATATTGCCAATAGGCCAGGTGGTGAGAGACTTTGTTTTCTTGATGTTGAACATTAATCCATATTAAAGATTGCTACCCTTGACCTTCTATAGTAAAATCTCTAAGTCCTCCGCAGTTTTGGTGAGCAAGGCTATATCATCTGTATAACATAAGTTGTTGATAAGTCTTCTTCCAATATTGGTGTCACATTCTTTTTCATAAAGCCCAGCCTCCCAATGAACTGTAGAAAAGTTACATCCCTAATTCACTCTTCTCTTAATTTTCAAACATGGACTGCTAGGAAAACAAACAGATTTGTCCTGGAAAGGGTTAAACCGGGTGGCTCCTTGGAGGCAAGGATTCTCAGGCTCCATCTAACATACTTTGGACATGTTGTGAGGAGAGACCGGTCCTTGGAGAGGGACATCATGCTTGGGAGGGTGGAGGGACAGTGCAGGAGAGGAAGGCCCTCTATGAGGTGAATTGATTCAGTGACTGGGATAATTTGGATGGGAGTGTCGGAGACAGTGCGATTGGCAAAGGACAGAGCGGAGTTTAGGGCTGTTGTACATAGGGTTGCTATGAGTCGCAGGTGACTCGACGGCACATAACAACAACAACAACAGTGTTTCCTTGTTCTGTCCAGACAATAACTATAGATTTCACATAAGCACAGTCACATCTTCTGGGATCCCCATTCTTCTCTATGGTAGTCTCAAAAGTTGTTGTGATTCACAGTAAAAAATGCCTTCACATAGTCAATAAAACACAAAAAGACACTCTAATAGTAATCTCTTCTTTCAGCCAAGATCCATCTGATATCAACAATAACATCCCTAGTGTCGTGGCCTCTTCTAAACCCTGCTTGTATTTTTGTCAGTTCTCTGTAGATATACTGATAATCTCTTCTAATATTTTCAGTCTTTATGCTATGTTACAGTTACCACCAGAAAAGGCTAGACAGAAGACATTGAGCACCTGTGGGTTTCAAGTTTGAATAACTTAACATTTTACACACCTGTCTTTTATTCCTTTTCAACCACAGATTTGGACATAACATTGCTCCACATATTCACAGCTTCATAGCTAATTTTCTTAGCTTATCTTATTATTCCTGCCATATTGCATCTCATAAAAAATAGTGTCAAAACCAAAACTATCTGGGATACTTTTTCTTTTTTTTGTTTTTGTATCATTCTATGTGAAATACATTTTCATTAATTGATCTGACTATAATATGAGGACAAGATTTCTCAATTAATTTATTTTCTTCACCAAAAAATCTTATATTCAACTAAAATGTTGTAAATTTAGTTATGAGCTCTGTAAAACTACTTGTGAATGAGAATACTGTTTTTTTTTAATTTTTTATTATTA